TAAAAAAAAATATATATATATATAACATTTCTGTCCCCCTCACTTTTGAAATGATGGCTACGCCCCTGACCCCGCCCAAATGTATACACAAAGAAAGAAGGCATAACTTTTATTCTCGCTGAAGTATTGTTGCCGCCGCCGCCATGTCGTGGAGACGCTGTGTTTCGTTGCGAAAGCAAAACTACCTTGTTTGGCCTTCCAAAAGAGGACACAACTAGAAATCAGTGGTTAAGTTTATTTACAACACTGTTCCAGAACAGTACAACCCAAATATTCGAGTATGTGCAGCGCATTTTACGGAGGAAAGTTTCCTGAACCTGGCAAGTGGCGTAACATTTCCGTCACACGCTTAAGGAATTCGGCCAGTCACAACGCACTAGATAGCTGGCCAATCAGAGCACACCATGCTTTTTAGAACTATGAGCTTTGTAAATATCAACACATTTCAGAAAGGTGGGGCATAGAGGAGCAACAATAATGTACGGTATGTGGGAAATAATGTGTTTTTTGAACCTTAAACACATTGCATTACACCAAATAAACAAAATAATGTTCCTTTTAGCAACGTCATATGACCCCTTTAATATTTTGTCTTTAGGTTCATTAAACTGCTCCATTTAAAAAATAAAATAAAATAAAATACAAAGACACATTTTATGTCAGGCTTAACAGGTTAAACCATTTATGAGGACGAAGGAAGCATCCTCATAAACCATGCTCACGCTGTAATCTCTATGTAATTATATAAGATTGTGTTCTCGTATACCATGTTTACAAACACAAGTAAGTGTGTGTGTGTGTGCACCTGTGTTGGGATTGATGCTGGCAGAGATGTGGAAATGGCAGAGGGCGTTGGCGTGGTATGAAATGTGGCGGTGAGTTTCGTGGGACCCCAGCTGGCTGGGCAGCAACTCGGTGTGGGCTACCAGGGCAGACGATCTTCTGCGGCCCCTGTGCAGGTGCTTGAGGTGGTGGATAGACTGAATGGAGACAGACAATTTTTACCATCGCAAATGCAATTCATGTACAGCAGGCCACCATGAAATGGAGAGAAGTACTCTCAGCTCCAAAAACACACTTTGTCATGTGTCATTAAAGTTTCTCGCCTAAAATCAGTGCAGAAAATGCAGATTCCATATGGGTCTACAGATGGCACATGGTGAGAGTGTGTGTGTGTGTTCAAGATGCAATATTAATAAAACTACACTTAAGGTGTGACACACCCATGCATGATTGCTAAACTAAAAAAACAATAGTCTGTGATTTTATTAAACATAAATAGATGTCTGTGTATTGTGCAATACAAACTCAAAAAAAATTCTGTCTAAAATCGATTTAAGAATAGTCTAACAGCTAACATTAAAGAAATATACCTAAAAATGAAAATGTTATCATCAATTTATACCAATTTATGTTTCTGCCGGTGGGTGCCCACCCTCCACATCCATTAAATACTGACGTTAACACAGGAAAAATGTGTAACAGGCACCTTGAAGATGCAAACGGGGCAAATAATATGTTTTTTGTTTTCTTATAATAAAGTTAACTGCATATCATGTTATTTATTACTTATCAGAGCCGTTCAAACCGGAGATTCACATCGGAGTCCATTTAGCATGCTTCTGTTTTTCAAATAAAACCAAATAATCCACACAAAAATGAAATCAACAGATGCACAATTATATTAAATGAAGCCCATGCACATTATTTATATATATATATGTATATGTATACTCTACATGTAGATTAGAGTACACATACTGAGATTTACTGAGGAAAATAACCAAATATCCTGCTCTTTTTTTTCCCTGATTTTAAAGCACACTGCCATGTAAAACTCCATATGATTGCTTTAATTGAGGTACTGATAATGAAAACTGCCGAAACACATAAGTTTTATCCATCTTTTCTTTAATTATTTTTTTTTCTTTTTCAGTGAAAACATCACTGAATCACTAAGCTCCATTAAGCTCTCTAATAAGGCATCTTGTGTTTTTCATCAAGTTTCCCAATCAAGTTGATTAAGGTTCTGCAATCTGTCTATATTTGTGTGTCAGAACAAACTGAAAATAAGGAAATTTTTCTATATATTTTAGTGGTCGACCGATATGGGTTTTTTGACAGCCGATGCCGATATCTTGGAAAGCAGGTGGCCGATGGCAGATATAAAGCCGATATAATTTTATTTATTTTAATTTATATTTAAGAAATTTGAAATAATTTGAAAATGGATTAAAAATAATTGTGTAAAATAAACATACTTATACTTTAGAAGATAAAGCATTTTTACAAATAAATAAATAAATATTTAATAAAAATCTAATTAAAAAGGAAGTAAACACGGTAACCAACACTCATGCGCTGCCGTTCTCAGCACCGTCAAAATAAAAGTCCCGCCTCGAACACATCGGCCAAACAGAAAAACTTATTGGCCGATGCCGATATTTGAAAAATGTCAAATTTAGGCCGATATATCGGTCGACCACTAATATATTTCTTGTGTAGTACATTTGTGGTGCTTCTATTTTTTATATATTTTTTTGCCCTGTTTGAAGCTTGATGGTTTTAAATTGCTATCCGTTTTGTCTATTTTCAGCAAAATATGATTTAGTTAGGAGACAAAATGTATTGCTTGTTAGTTTTTGGTTTACATGGAGACAAAAGGTAGGCTACTGATTGCTAATATGCAGTTTTCACACATCCTACTGAAGATGACAAACCTGGTGCAAAAATCATTCAATACTTTGCCATTTGACAACAATTTAAATATGATTTAATAACACAGACATTTATTTGCATTTAAGTGTGATTCTAGCCTTGATATCCAAGTAGATATGATTTGATACCTAAGGAAGACACAGATAACAATGTGATTATTTGATCAAATTGCTGCCATAGTGTGTAGATATACGCCAGAGACTACATTTGCAGGGAGTTGTTCATTTTAAAAAGTAACCCAGCTAACACACATAGCACATTATTCTTCATTATGCCTTGACACCAATAATTTCGGGCTACATAATTCTATTGCGCTGGTATGATTTCAGACTGGTGTTTCTGCATGCTGACCTCCACAGCGTGTTGTATCTTGTCTTTCTGAGCGATGTTTGGCAGAGAGGAGCTGAAGCTGGTGCTGTTCTCTGAGATCTGCCCTCCCAACAGACTGTCCTCAGGCAAGACGGTCTCACTCCACAGACGACAGATGCCATCCGCGCAGGACGTCAGCAACACGTTACACACAGAGCCCCTACGACATACACACACACAATGAGAAATACACACAAACATGGGTGGAATTTACAGTGCGAGTTAAGGGTGGGCGGTAAGACTAAAATCTCTGCAGTGTTTCCTGCACTGTTAAATCTACAGCGCCTCAGCAAAATAAATAGTAGTTGAGAGGCTGGAGGAATGAGATGAAGATATACATTTACCTAATATCTTACTCACTGAAGTCTCGACTCAAATCTTTTGAAATGAAGCAAGAACATTCAATTGCAATTGACACTACAGTTCAAAAGTTTGGGATCAGTAAGATTTTTACGTGGTACGCATGTACTGCGGAGTGTGGAACTTCTGATACGTGCAGCATGATTGCGTGAACATTTCCGAGCGGCAAAAGTGATAGATCTGTAAAGCGATATATTGTGAGAGGGCCGTGTGTGTTACCGCGTCCCAAACGACTCAAAATAATAAACCACAAAGTTAACAAAACGATGCACTCCACTGCTGAGCGAGAGCGCTTCTCTGCTTTCTTCACGTGCTATCGGAAACTTCCTATTTCTCACTTATGAAGTCGTGAGTGCTTCATGTGAGCGCTGCTGCAGTCTTAGACCCACCCCAAATGCTCTCATTGGTTGAGACGCGTGACGACACCGATCCCAAGCCAATACTGATCAACATCCCACCCCTCCTGTGACCCATGATTTGTCTGTATGTGTATTCAGAGCCAGTGAGCAACAGACTTTGATAATAATAAAAAACTGCGCGATAAAATAATTGTCGGCGTTAATCAATTAATGCGTTAACGCAATAATAACGTATAATATATATATATATAGTTGGTATAGAAAAGAATCACCCCCCTTTAAAATAAAGGCTGTAATTAAAGCAATGTTGCTGTTATATCGTTCACTTGGATGTTATAAGTTGCATTAAGTAAATACAGCTGGATGAAAAAAAAAAAAACTGTGTCCGTCTTCATTTCAGGCTGAAAAGCAACAAAATGTGATTATTTTAAAGGGGGTTGATTCTTTTCTATAACCACTGTATTTTTTTATTTTTTATTAATTAAATTCATAATTATTTTATGAATTAAATATTTTAAACATGACCTTTTTTTACCAAAATAGTAAATAATTTGAGTCCTTTTTAGTCCTAACAATATATAAGAAAATACAGTAATTTTGATTGGAGGTTCAATGGAAAAATTTTTATATTTTTAAAAAACAATTTCTGTCAATTCTGGCACTGGATAATCTAGTTTTGGATAATTGGATAGTTTAATTGGAAAATAAAGACAAAAAAATGTTCTTTTAATTTTTGATGGATGTAAAAAAAAACAATTTTTTTTTTTTATAAATGAAAAATAAAATAATTTATTCATTCATGCACAGCTGTGACTGCAAATCTGTTAAATTCAAGCCCCATGCATATACCAAATCTACCAAATGGTACAAATGGTTTAGCGGTGTACCTACTATTTGACAAAATTTTTTTTTTATAAATGAAAAATAAAATAATTTATTCATTCATGCACAGCTGTGACTGCAAATCTGTTAAATTCAAGCCCCATGCATATACCAAATCTACCAAATGGTACAAATGGTTTAGCGGTGTACCTACTATTTGACATATTGCTACTACTGCATGGTACATTCTGTCATACCACCCACCCTAGTATGAGTGAAAGAGTCTGTGGATGTGTCTGACATACTTGGGCATATATTTACTGGTCTTCCTCCAGGAGAAGCCTGTCACCATACGCGGATGTGCCAGATACACAAATGAGAAATGAACCGCTGAGATCTTTTTATCAGTCACGTCTGGCATCACCACTGCAGACTTCCATCCTGTGGAGGGATACCACACCTTCAGCAGGCAGTCATCCTGAGAGAGATAGAGGGAGAGAAATGGTTTTGCCACTGTAATTTCACATTTTCACACTTGCTGACATGCAAATCACTTTTCTTGTTCAGAGTATGAAAATGAGACAAAATGAAATTACATTAGCAAAATAACCACATTTGCACCGATCAATATATTTGGACTCCAAAGTATAATATTTTGGGGGGACCAAACCTACATTAGGACCACTGAATAACTAGTTATAATGCCAAAAGTATACTTCCCTTGTTCGTGTGCCACTCTGGCTCTTGGCCAGTTTGTGTGATGTAATTTTCAACGTCAGCACAATACACAGATGTACATGCACAGCTAGATTTTTGTGTCCACACACACAACAGTGCATATGCCACTGATTTAAGGGCTTGAAAAAAACGGTCCACTAGATCTGCATTCATGGTCAATGGAACTTACTTTGAAAGGCTTGATCGCTGTTGTATTTCAGTAGGAATCCACACAATTGGAAATTTAGCATGAGCGCAAGCTATTTTCTCATGCAGATTTTGCAACAGGTTCAAGCTGGTCACGCAGATTTGATGTGCTAACCAACAGAAATCTGCTTGGTTTGAATGTGATTTCTCTGTGAGCTGTGCTTCATAATGGACAATGGACCTTTTTTGCCCACAAAATCTTGCTAATGTGAACGCACCTTTAAGTAGCCATGCTACTAACTTACACTAACATTTTCCAGAAGCGTCACAGAAGCTGTTTTAAAATGGTGTGGCTTATTTTTTCCTATGAGTATAGCATGTCACACTCCTTTCCTCAGAGAATTTCAGTCCAGTTTATTGTAGTAGATCAGTTCTTTTGGGCAGGTTCAGTAAACTTGTTTAAAAAGATCCACAACAGTCCTTTTTTATCCTTTACTGAAATATTTAGTTGAATCTTTGTTTCAGCATTGTTTTTTTTTTTATAGTTTTATTAGTTGTATGTCAATATATCTGTTCAAATACTGTTTTTTACTGTTGTAAAAAATAAATAGCTTAAACATAGTTAGCTTAGCTAATAGACTGTACAGTAGCTAACTACTAGTTTAAAAGGATAGGATTTAACTACTTTGAAGCCATAGCTTACCATGCTACTCATATCCATTAGATTCCCAAATACAGTTTGGCATCTATGTTCATATAGGAACCAAACAATGTCTTATTTTACAAATCACAATGATAAAGGTTGCTGTAAGGGATAGGTCTTGTGTGTAGTACTTATAATTAGCATCATTTAAGAACAACTGATGTCCACCATGATATAAAAAGTTGTGTGCGGTACCTTTCCAGCAGTGGCGAAGTATTCTCCATCTGGAGACCACTGAGTGATGTGAACAGCAGCAGCAGTTCTGACAAAAAAAAAAACAACAAAAAATAAGACATAAGCAGAGTAATTTACACACACACACACACACACACACACAAACAGGTAAAAACTTCTGTGCACATAGTGAAGTATATTTTAAAAATGGTGAATGTTTTGAAGACCCACATTACACCTGCATAAAATTTTCATGTTAAAAATAAATTCTAATTTTACTACTCTTTTAAAAAAATTATTTCAATTAATTATTAATAATTTGTATAATTTCAGTCAAGCTGTCTAGGCAGCAAATTTCAGAATTTGATGTTACCTGACCATTTTCTACCCTCTCTCTAACCTTATTGCCGGCTCAACATCGTGATGTCTGTCAGCCATCGGCGATGGACGATGGCATCCTTTATCAGCCCAACCCTAGCGGCAACTACGCAAATATTTCCACATAGTGACGTAGAGATGTGGGGGCGTGTTTGAAAGAGGCGTTTTAGCCCGGTCTGGATCAGCCTTCTTTTTTAGATAGAATAAATCCTTTTGTGGGAGACTTTGAGCTTTGTAACTCTGCAGATCTTATACATGCACAATTAACTACATAACACACTAAAGAAAAGGAAAAATACAAATCACATCATATGACCCCTTTAATGGTAGAATTTTTATGTCAGAATACATTCTCTTGACAGAGTTTATTTTTCATGCGTACGGTAAATATGCCATTCGTGGGTTTATCCCCCGTACATGTGAAAACACTGAGCCTCCCAGGCAGCATGAATTAGAGCAGTCCACTCAGATCAGTCAATCTTTTTCCAGATCAATCTACAGTAAGTCTTTGGGGCATGGCCAGTCCTCAAAGTGGGCCGGTACTGACCGGTACATAGTACCGGCACTTCTGTATTTTAATCTTAAACGCTTTTTTGTGCATACTGGCACTTCTCACAGTACTCAGAGTAAAAGCATCAGGGTCTGGGTGATTAGTAATGGCACTATATAAATCACACTACCCAGGAGAGAGCACTACGTGAATTACCTCTCATCTGGACAAATCACGTGAATGCAAGCAGAGTCTGTCTACTTCAGGAGTTTTCAAAGTGAGGAGCACGAGAGCATGCCAGGGGAGGCGTGCAGAGTAGCAAAATAATAATTAATTATGTTTTTATATTAATGTATCTTTGAAAGGAACTGTCTTTAGAAAAGTTTCAATGTCATTTTCATTTAATCTTTCCCATAATGCCCGATAAAGTAGTGTTTATGAGCGGAGCGCTGCTTTGATTACAGCCATTACCGGGGAAACCGCCATTTCTGCCGCTCCAAAAGCGCCCCTATATTTCCCTCAGGTAAAGTACCGCCACACATAAGAGTGTAATTCTTTGGAAAACATGCGCAACGCTGACCTCATACGTCATCAGCTCTGAACTGTCGGCGGAAGCTAGATTAAAGTGATTATTACGTTTTGAATATGGATATTTGTTTTACAAAAACGCATCGATTCGCTACAGGAGGCCTTTGTTCACCCCCCGGAGCCATGTGAGACACTTTTTTTTATGGATGGGCGCTTTTTTTATTTCACTTCTTTTGGACTGAAGCACTGCAACACCCGCTGACTGCAATGATAGAGCTTGGAATAGCCAGGACAATTTTTAATATAACTCCGACTGGATTCGTCTGAAAGAAGAAAGTCATATACACCTAGGATGGGTCTGGGGTGAGTAAAACATTAATTTTAATTTTTGGGTGAACTAACCCTTTAATTCATCAAATGTGCTGTAACGTTCAGCAAATCAGACAAGCGAAATTAAAGATTTAGTACGCAGACAAAAGTGTGGTTAAGATCTTAAGCTGCACTCACTTGCACTGCCAGACACATTTCCAGTCGTTGAGTATGAGCTCATGAGCTCTGTCATCATTCAGCTGACTGTCCTCTTCCTCTATCAGCGTGTCACTGATCGGAGGAGCCCACAGCTGCAAACGCTCAGTCGCTGCCAAGATACGATTGCCTACATGACAATCAGATGTAATTAATTCAAAACAAAAATTTGGCTGCACGATCTAGTTTTATATTATTACTACCATTATTATTAATAATATTTCCATCATTTTATAATATGGAAGTTATCAGAATTTTCAATTAACAAATGGAAGTTTGGGGATTATTATTACGGTTAGCCACTGTGTTATTATGTAGTAACCAATCTAAAAAAAACAATGCCTGCACCATTAACCACTTCAAATCTTAACCGAAATCTCTCATTTTATTCTGCTTATCCAAACATAAATAATTCAGAGTTTGCACTCAAGTCAGAGAAATATCTTCTGAGTGTATTATTTAATCATAAGGCCCATTTTACACTAAATAATTAAATTACATCAATGATGAATAATTCTTAAGAATAATTAATAAAGAGTTTTTGGTAAAACATGACTATTCATATTTAGTTAAGTGTTCTCAGGAAAATATAGAAAGCATATATATATATATATATATATATATATATATATTTGGGTAAATTACTAAAGATGTCAAAATGTCCATAGTAATCTTTATTATCATTGTCTCTCTGATCGAAGATCCACTGTCCTCCAGTGCAAAACTCACCTTGTGACGTTTGTTTGGGTTGGAAGCAATCGGTTCAAAAATACAAACGGTATTTCCATAAGAGGCAGCAATCTACAAAATAAATCATTATTTACAAATTATTTATAATGAACATAATCATAAAAGAGCAGTTCCACCATTAGAAAGGAGAAACTGTGAACACAAAATCATGTCAAAAACACAATCAGTGAAGATAACTGGATATATCTCTTCATCCATCCATGTTCGTACTGTCAGGAGTGAGTTGTGGCTTATCAGATCCACAAGCACATAATGTCTACTCATCAGTGACTGATGCCTGTGTCTGGAATGTGGCTGCAACAGACATATATTTTATATGTTTTGCTACATTTCTCTCTTCCATCCCAGGCTTAAAAACAATTTGCAAGTTGACTACCCCAAAACGTGTGGTGCTGTCCAAACACTGCTCTTTTAGATGAAGCACTCCAACCAGCCTGGGCAGGACTTTCTTTTTGTCCATCTAGAACAGATGGCCAAAGTGCAACTCCATTTGGTGAAGCTAATGATGCAGCATCTAAATGATAGCAATGGGCATACTATCTGACTATATACTACAAGACTGCAAAACTTAAATTACATTAATACAACATTTACTCAAAATCAAAATGTTCATCACCGAATTACATGTTTGTTGCCATATTTTGAAATAAGCGGAGCACTTCTGTTAATTGGCCAGCTAATAATTTCAATTTGGCTGAATCAAAAGCTGATATTTTGGTTTAGTAATGTCTACTCTAGTCATCATCACTTGTAATGCGTACTCAGTTAAAGTGTTTGGTACTGTACAACATTATGTTTTGACCTTACGTAATATTGCTTTGTTTCATAATTGAAATTTGAATTGAATTTTTCAAGAATACTCTGCAATATTTTGCAATATTTTCAGGAATATGTAAACTAGATATTTAAAGGGGTCATATGATGTTGCTAAAAATAACATTATTTTGTGTATTTGGTGTAATGAAATGTGTTTATGCGGTTTAAGGTTAAAAAAACATTATTTTCCACATGCTGTACATTATTGTTTCTCCTCTATGCCCCGCCTTTCTGAAACGTGTCGATTTTTACAAAGCTCATCGGTCAGAAAAAGCGAGGTGTGCTGTGATTGGCCAGCTATCCAATGCGTTGTGATTGGCCGAATACCTCAAGCATGTGACAGAAATGTTACGCCCCTTACCATATTGGGCGTGTTAGAACGACCCATTTTAGGTAGGCGTGGTTGACTCAGCTCATGTTGCGGTTTCACTAGGATGGATTGTTTTTGTTATAGTATTTCTCATTTGTTCAGTGCTTTGTATTAAAGGTCTGCGCTAGGGATATGCCGGTATCAAATTTTCATGTTGCGATTAATTGCTAATGCTTTTATCACTGTATTCGGTATTATCACGATATTGAAATTTAGTTTAAAAAAGTGCTGTCATAATACAGTATAACAGGTTTAATAACATTTTTCTTATAACAAAAATAACTGAACATTTAAATGCAATAAAGCAATACAGAAAAATGTATAAAGTTAAAAGTTTTACACAGATTAAAGTGCAAAAGAACTATAAAGACCAATAGGTATCACTTTACAATAAGACCTATAACAATACCGTGCATATTCATTACCGTGATATATCGCATTACCGAATACCGGCACAAGTCTAGTCTGCGCTAAGCATTAATGTAAATGTAAGAAGTGTAGTATAGTCTTACCCGGCCGAGCTGCTGAGAGCACTCCACACAGCCCACCTGGATGTTTCCATTCTGAGCTCCAGGAATAATTTGAACACACTCAAAATCACTTGCAAGGATCACGATATCACAGCCTGAGCCATAGGCCTAAAGAAACAGAAATCACTCAATTAAACTCTCAGTTAAACTTCTTCAACAAGAAGTTTAACATTGGTCAATTATTCAGATTATGCTTCTACATGCATGCAATTAAATTGTGAACACAATTTAAAATCATACTGAATATGATTTACATAAATGTACACTTTATTTATTCTGTAAATTACTGTAAGACTGTACCAACAATTTAAGACTGACATATGACTATAAATGAGTATATAATTGTATGTAGACTTTTGCATGAACAGTACTGATTATCTTTCATAAACAAAGGGAGACAGAAATATTTTTCAACCGAGATCTGTTTTTTTAACTCATAATTTTATTCAGTAAGGATGTATTACATTTATGAGTTTATGGATAATTTCACACACACACACATTTTTTTCTATTCATCAAAGAATCCTAAAGAAAAAAAAGTGTGACAGATTCAACAAAAATATTAAACTGTCTGAAAATGAATGTTTCTTTCTTTCTTCAGAAAACATGAATAAATTACATTTAAAAAATATTAAAATAGAATAAAAAATTATTACTAATTTACTGTATTTTTGATCAAATTAATACAGCCTTGGTGACCATAAAATACTTTTTTCAAATAAAAAAATCCCCCCCAAAAAACCACACAACCCTAAACTTCTGAATGCCCGACTGGGAATCATTAAAAAAAAATGGGGAACTGAATTTTCTCTTCCTTATTTTGTAGTTTACTTGTTATTAATATGCCCCTTTTAATGTTCACTTTCGAGTTTTGTTGTTTTTATTTTGGCTGCGGTTCAAGTGAAACTGCTTTGGCAATGTAGTAATGTGTGTCATAAGACAACTGAGAAAGAGTAACGATTCAGAAGGGTCATATTCACACACTTACATAACATTTACATTGATACTGTAATTATACCATCTAAACACAATGTGTTGTGACAATTCATTGTTGTGGTAAAAATACAAAATTACAGAGTTAAGCAACAGCAACAAGATTGTAATGCTCTACATAGGGTGGGGAAGTAAACATCTACACACACAGTGTTGGACTCTAAACAGATGTGCCCATTTGATGAGCTAAATATGCTTACTGATGCATCCTTTTTTTTTCTTTTTTTTCTGGGTTACATTTCCTCCTAGCACTGATCTACTGCACATGCTCAGTTCAGCATTTTTGGTCATGTTTGGATTAGCACAACACTACTCAATGTTATTGCAGAAATGTAGAAATTGTTTTATACATAAAATATCTGGATTATCTGCTACAAATGTCCAAATGTACAGTGCACAACAGAACACACTACCCTGATTAGTGTGACCCACAAGGCAATGCACTCAACATTATATGTCTAATGTGACAACTTCTGCATCCCAATTCGTCTGCTTATACTATTCCTTTAAAACTATATAGCCTACTTTTGAGTGTGTAGCAGAAAAGTAGGCAACATCTGGGATATATTACTTCTTCATAACTGTGTCTTTAATTGTGCTCTGTTGCTTAGTTACAAGCATCCCATTCCCATCACAATTTAAACTGCCCTATACCAATCATCTTGTCAAAGTTAACATCCTTTGCATTTTGTATCATTTATTTTTCCCAACGTATTGGAGAGAAATTAAGAGGCATGTTGATCTGCCACTAGTGAGTTTTTCATGCCAATAACTCACCTGACGTGTTTACATGATGTATTTAAAAAGTTAATGACGAAACGCATCTTCATACAAGTTCACAATATTGCTGCAGATGAAATATAATGCGGATAAGATTAAATAAAAAATGTTTTCAGCATGTTAAATAATAATTATTAATCACGCAAACCCCTTTGTCAAAACGTCTCTACTGAACAGTCGGTCTTGTATATCCTCCATGTTTGTAGTTTTTTTTAACACTTCTTATTCGTGTTTGTAGTTCGAAACGAATCCACGTCCAACACGCAATAGGCTGTGGCCAATATTAGCCATTAGAGTGTGCATGGATATGCACTTTGAATTTTCACTAGAAATAGTAAACCACCCAGGTACCTTTGGGATACCCATTTCAACTTAAACCAATTTGGGACACACTAATCATATTTTTAAATATTGTTTAGTATGGATAGTATGCAAATTGGGACACAGCAATGTGTTTACTTTTTAATCGGTTTAAACCGCAAAATAACTTTTTAGATTATATAACTGCATGTACTCACTCATGTACCATACTACTTATTGAAATATTTATTACTACTGTGTGCGATTCCTTTTTTTTTTTTTACAAAACAATGTTCACTATACAATATATACTATGCAGTATGTAGATATATACATTACATACAGTACATACGTATCCAATTTTGAACAATGCCTTATTCTGTATTCTATATACTGGTACATCATGAACACACACAAACACAGGTTGCCACAAGCCATTAATCAGTCCAGACTGAAGAGGCAAATACTGCACCTGTTGTTCTGAGCAGTGTGTGTGTTCTCATCCTCTCTATGACTTATTAATGGGAAGACAGCACAGAGGCACTGGACGCAAATAAGCTCAAAATGACGCTCATTCCCATTATAGACTCGACTGGGCAAACACACATATTACTATGAGGTGTGCATACAGAAGACAGACAAATTATAACGCCATATGAATGCATAATTCCAATTAGATTCCGCTATTAACCAGTTGGTTATCTTAACCAATATTGTTGTTATGGCTGTTTGTGGTTTACAGTTATTTTGTATTGTTTTTTTAAAAATAATCTAATCAGTTCATTCATTCACCAGTCGATATTGATATTTACCACGATATTCATTTCATACCATAAATAGGGAATGAAATGCATTCCACATGTTTGTTAGAACTCAATAATGAATAAACATTTGTTTGTTTACAAGTAGACTCAAAGTAAGCTAGTTTTTAATTTAAAGGGTTAGTTCACCCAAAAATGAAAATTCTGTCATTAATGACCTCATGTCATTCTAAACCCGTAAGACCTCCGTTCATCTTCGGAACACAAATTAAGATATTTTTGATGAATTCGGAGAGCTCTCTGACCCTCCCATAGAAAGCAATGTAATTACCACGATCAAGGTCCAGAAACGTAGCAAGGAGATCGGTAAAATAATCCATGTGACATCAGGGGTTCAACCGTAATTTTACGAAGCTACGAGAATACTTTTTCCAAGCTCTATGATAAAACTTTCATGGACTTCTACATTAACTGTTCCCTCCTGGTGGAATGACCTGCCCAACTCAATCCAAGCAGCTGAGTCCTTAATATTTTCAAGAAAAGGCTGAAAACACATCTCTTTCATCTTCATTTGACCCTCTAACTCTAGCACTCTCTATTCTAATGCTACTTCTAATTTTATCTGCTTGTTTTTTTTTAATTAAAAAACTTGACCCTCTAACATTTGCACTCTCTATTCTATTTCTATTCTAACTACTTGTTTTATTTATAAAGAAAAAAAGAGCCTCTAACACTAGCATTCTCTATTCTTTCCACTTATTTTCTTTTTATTTATTATAAATAATGACCTTCTAACACTAGCATTATCTGTTCTTTTTCTGTTCTATTGAATTGTTTTATTTTTATTTAAAAATGACCCTCTAACACTAGCATTCCCTATTCTTTTTATTTATTATAAAAACAAAATAAGCAAACAAAAACGAACAAAAAAAACCTTGCTACGTATACTGGTCACTAGGCTTGCCGCGATAGGCGGTGCTGATGGTGATACCGGTGTTAAGCCGCAACACAGGTTACGTCACTTGCCCACCGCGTCACCGACCCCCACCGTCGTTTAGATTTCTTTATAGTAATAAAAATCATTTAGTTAAGTAAAAGAACACACTACAATTAAAAACTGAACGCGGCTGCTCAATGCAGTTGAACGACAGTTGCATCACAGATCAGATTTCATTTCTCCAGTGAGGAGATTAAACTTTATGTAAGTTATTTGTTATTTTATATTAGGCATAGCCTGCCCTATAGCATGGTGTATTTTTATTTGTTTTGTTAATAAAAGTTATATGTTTTATATATACGCTAAAGCGAGTTTGACGTTGTTTTTTTTTGTTGCATTCAAGCAATTGACGCCTAACTGCCGCTATTTCTAAAGTGAAAGTAAAATGCGCATGGCGCTTTTAAGCTATTTAAAAGCAAAGGAAAGCGAGGAAAAGAGGGAAAATTCTAACGAACTAAAAAGGAACAATTGCTTTACTCCGAATTGCCACTATTTGAAAGTGAAAGTAAACTGCGCATGCCGCTATTAATTTATTTTTTAATAAGTATCGGTTCAGGCACCGTTTAGTCACCGGAACCATTTTAAAAGTATCGATTTGGCACCGGTATCGAAAAAAACACAAACGATACCCAACCCTACTTGCATACTGTATAAATCAAAATGCTTGCATGCCTGAGTATGTGTAGTAGACATAACTGTGCAGCTCATACACTTTGCGACAAAACATGCAGACTTCAAATTTAAGTAGCAGTCAAAGACATTATTCCATATCGCAATTTGAATTTGGTTCAATGTACAGTTCTAGATATTTGAATTTTTGACTTCAAAAACTTTGAAATGTCAATGATTAGTTATTCCACACAGTAAATTCCATTTTTATGACTGGAAGCCCACAATTCCGTCCGTGTTTTTCGCTTCTCTCTCTTAGTCAGTAGACACCATGTGAACGACACAGGCGAAGCAGTCTTGAGAACTAATTGCTTACTTTTATTGAACATACATAAAAAAATGTCACCGGACTTCACGTCTTCACATGTTTGATAACACTTTTATCAAACACACACTTGCCTTTTTAGTGGCACGTACCTGATCATCTAGATGTACTTTAGGACATAGGCTCAATATGGAAAGTTGCTCAAAGTTTTTTTTTGTTTGTTTGTTTGTTTAATCAATATATCAATTCTGATCAATTTTGATTAATCGCACAACACTAACTGAACAATTAAACTGGAAAAACAAAATTATACCCTATTACCTCATTGACTCAATCAAATCTA